CGGTAAAAGCACTTTCCGCATGTGTTAGGTACAAAGTTTTACCTATGAGCATCTACATCTCCAAAAATGGGCATTGATAAAATTATTTATTGAATCAGATTAATGAATGAAATTAGATTAGATTTAGAAATTATCAAAAATCCATTTTCTGGAAAAAAAAAGGATTTTTGATTATAAATATCAAATTCTACTTTACCGCACACTATGCGGTAAAGTGCACTTTACCGCACACTTTGTAGTCCACTTTACCGCATACTATGCTGTAAAGTTCACTTTACCGCACACTATGCTGTAAAGTTAACTTTACCGCATAGTGTGCGGTAAAGTGCTACTTTCCATTTGCAAATACGTGCAGTAAAGTGCACTTTACCGCACGCTCGTAGGTAAAGTTATTAACGTCATGTGAGCGTTCACGTTCATAAATCACTTGACGTTCACGAATTCACTTGGCGATCACATCGGGCGTTCTAAAAATCTAATATCACCGCGCCGCACAATGAAATTGACCTTTTGTTTCGACGCCATATTGCGGTGCGCGAACATAGTTGCCAAAACAAAAAAAAACAAAAATTACCAGCGGGCTGTCAACTAGATATTTTATTATTTCTATTCTGCCCAATACAAGCTAAAATTGATGGCTTTTCTTTCCAAAAACATTCGTAATAGACGGCAAATTTGAATTTTAAATGTAATTTATTCACTAACTTTGGATTTTGAAGTTGACAGAACGCTAGTAATTTTTTTTTTCTACTGTTGGCAACTATGTTCGCGCACCGCAATATGGCGTCCAAACAAAAGGTCAATTGTGGACATCAGCCGACAAGTACAATCAAAAATCACCATCTTAAATGAGTGCAAAAAAAGCGAAGCGTCATATTAGGTTTGTTCTCACAGAAATCCCAAATCAATCAGAACATTTCTGATTGGTACAAATCGCCAATAACCAGTTTTCTGACTATTTTTAATCAATGAAGGCTCTGACTAGTTTGTGATTTCTGTGAGAACAAACCTATATTCGACTTTTGAAATTGTGTTCTCAGAAACTATCGGGCGAATTTTTCTGAGTCACACCCATGATATGGTCACACCAGGGTCATCATCATAGGCGATAACTCGGGTAAATCTGTGACGTCAAAAATATCACGTTATTTCGCAATGGACCTTTCTCATTTTAAGGCTTGCTTTCCTCGGAAGCGGGACGGAGACGGAACGGGTGCCGCAGACGTTGCCCTCATTAAAATATAAAGATGTGCTTTCCTAAGCAGCGGAGGCGCGACGGCGTCGGAGCGCAGTTTTTTTGACGCTAGCGGAATCACGCCACTGGTCGGTCGAGAGGCAACTTCGACGGGGCGCAACACCGACGGAATAATATTTATAAATAAAAATCTGTGTAAAAATGTCGAATTTCACAGAAGAGAAAAGTGAATTATTGATCGACCTAGTGAGGCAGTATCCTGTACTGTACAATTTAAAGCACAAAAATTATTTCAACAACACAATTAAAGAAAATGCTTGGAAAGCAATTAGTGATGCCCTTCAAAAACCTGGTAAGTAGAAGATAATTTATGGCCAGTTGCAGATAGACGCTATTATTTTTTTGGATTTTTTGTTTCGGATCTTTCGCTTGAATTATTTTATTTGCATTACTGATGGTACGTGTGTGTTGTTGCTTGTAACACCTCAAATTTTTTTTGTTAAAGTTGGTGAATGCAAAACCAGATGGAAAACCATCAGAGATTCCTACAGAAAACAAGCGGGGAAAAGCTCTTCATCAATTTCGTCTATTAGAATAAAAAATAATAAATCTTCGGAATCCATTTTCACACACGGATTGCAGAATCGCCGACGTCGCTACGCCTTCGAGGAAAGCACTACCTCCCTAGCGCGATACGCCGGGGAAGCGCTTTGACTCCGTCACGCTTGCGTTCTGTCTCCGTCCCGCGTCCGAGGAAAGCGAGCCTTTACCTGTGCTGCGCGCGCCGCTTGTGGGTGACAGATAATAAAATTGTCAATTAGGCAAATCTACTGACCTGTCAAAAACGAAATTCAATATGGAACTCCGGGTCAAGCATTGGGTCAAGCATCTATGGGTCAAGCACTTTGTTGTTTATTCTGTATGTCAGTGTATGTCATTGATTCTGTAACATTCTGGACAAACGTCCAGATTTGAATTATCGGATTTTGCGTTTTTTTGTGTGTTTAGGTATTTAGGTGTTAATTAAAATGCCAGCGATTTGCATCGTAATTGGGTGTGGAAGTCGAGGTAAAAGGGATAATGTGAAATTTTATTCAGTTCCTGCTATTTTAAATCATTGGCTTTTGATCTACAAAAGTGAATTATCAAAACAACGCAGGGCTTTATGGATTGCTGCAATTAAAAGAAAGGATCTAACAGAGGCTCGATTTTCCCTTAATAATAATACCTTAAGATATTCACTCTCCATCTCAGAATTTATTAATAAATAAAAAAATACGTAGAAACACTATAAAATTCACTTTGAAAACAACAAGGGCCAGAACACTAAAAAATATTTAGAAATACTAAAGACTATAAAATTTACTATGAAAACAACAATGACCAAAACCAAAACCAATGAAAAATACGTAGAAACACATAAAATTCACTTCGAAAGCAACAAGGGCCGAACACAATGCTCTCCTTATGAACGTCACCGGCTTGTCACCGCAATATTTGACCCATGATTTGACCTGAACGGCAATATAAAATCACGTGATTGAGATTGCCTAATTGAATGAACGCGGTCAGGGGCCTTATTCCGTAAGGAACGAAACGTTCGATTCGGTAGAATTTTTTCGATTGTGACGTCATTTTTGCTTGTTGTGGTAGCGCGAAAACGAGCGAAAACTAAACCGAAAATGACGTCACAATCGAAGAAATTCTACCGAATCGAACGGTTGTTCCTTACAGAATAAGGCCAGGGGCCAAACCGAAAATGACGTCACAATCGAAAAAATTTTACCGAATCGAACGTTTCGTTCCTTACGGAATAAGGCCCCTCTGACCCTGACGTTTTAAATATGTGTTGTGTGAGTTGATGTCAGAGTAAGGGGGAAAACAAGTCAAACCTTTCTTTTCACAAGTTCGTAAAATAACGATTTCTATGTCAAATATAATAATAATTGTACAATTAAAGTTTGCTAGCACTTGCAAATTCGTACTTCTCAAACTTTTCTTAACTTTTCCTCCACATATTTGTCATATTTACGTTTAAAAATAAACAAAAATAAAAGCATAACCGAAATTGCACAATTTAACAAGTGGAACCAATCAAAGTCATTCCACACAGGTATCGCTCGTCATTATATATGTCTCTTTCTTTATTGCAGAAATCTTAATAAACTATCCTTGTTGTTCATTGCATAAGAAAGGTCCATTACACCTATTACCACTACCTACCGGTTTCAAAACGACTCTATATACAAATTTCGGGCTCTGCGCACAAATTTCTGTCTTTGCGCAAAATTGTACGGTTTCTAGATGTGTTGGAACAAAGCTAATTTTTTCGCAGTCCAGTCACAAAAATATTCTTGTGTAAAACCGACGGTTCCTTTCGAACACCGTCAACGCCGAAAATTAAGCACACTTTAACCAAATAGGATTGCTTATTGAGCTGAAAGAGTCTGCCATGTTCACGCCATAACTCCCCACTATTTCTGACGACAGCCGCAGTCCTCTAATCTTGGCGTAAAATGCATTATCCCAGCCCGGTTTAAAACACTATACGTGGAAAAAACAAATTCCTAAACGTTAAATAGCTATTTATACAATAAGTTACGAAATGAGCGTCTTTTAAGCACGCGACGTGAAAATTGTCCAACGAGGCAAAGCCGAGTTGGACAACACGTCGAGTGACTAAAAGACATCGTTTCGTAACGTATTGTATACAAGATTTTTTCTACTGGCATTTTATAATAAAAAAACACAATTTTATTTCATGTGAATAAGTCGATTACACCCAAAATCTTTGTTACCTGTTTTTACTTGACACCTGACACTTTTCATGGGATTTTCTTTTCAAAATTTGACATCAATAATTGAAATCCTAGAAAGTAGGTAATAATACAAAGTTCTGTTTTGAGTAACCCAAACGTTCAATTCAGTAATTCCATTTTCAATATTCATAATAAATACAAAACAAAATTCAAATATGTGTTTAGTGTGTTTTTTATTTCTGAATAATGAATGACACTTTTAGGCACTAGTGCTTAAAAATTACTTTTACGCACTCATAAGTCACTTTTACGCATTCAAAAGTCACTTTTACGCACTGCGTGCTTAAAAGTAACTTTCACGCATTCAGTGCCTAAAAGAATGTCGTTTCAAAACTGAAATGACAATCGAAAAGTTGCTATTATGAAACGTCAGTAGAAAAATTATATTTTCTACATTAGATGGAAAAATGAACTCAGGCGCGAGGTCTGCGAGTGACGTCACCACTATCAGTTGCTAATAGTGTTGACGTCACTCGCAAACCAGCTGTCGACTCGAAACTTGGCGAACATACGCCTATTAGGTTGAGCAATCTTAGCTGCTTTCCAGTGCCTGAATTGTTAGAGTATCTTGCTCCTGGAGTGTGACGCTTTTGAACTGTTCGACATAAGCAGCACTGGAACGCTCTCGTCTTAACCCCCACCATTTTGGACTTCAAGAGCATGAAACGCCAAAATAAAGGTTGGTGCACGAGGGGGAAGGGGATAACAGAAATGAGTAGTTCAAGTGTATGACACTCTAAGCACTGTAACGCGCGAAACAATTGTGGAGCACTCCTGAGCTGCTCAGGAGTAACTCAAATGGGTCACTGGAAAGCACCTCTTATGGTGGAGTGTTCTTGGCCGAAAACCATAGGATTTTTTACTTTCACCTCACTCCAACTTTTCGACGAACAGCAACCCAGAACTGTTCAATGTTGCCAACAACATAAAATTAAAAATAAAACTACAGAAATCTATAAATTGATTTTTCTGTTTGACATTTTGAACAATAGATGACAGAAACGTCATCGCAGTTCGCTTTAAACAAAAAAAAGGAGAAAACAACAAATGTACGGCAGAATGATTTAAATACAAAAGGCGCACTCCGAAAAATCAATAGCGGTAATAAACATTTATCAATGTTTTTTCATAGGATAAGTTAACTATTAATGATTAAAAAAGTTATATAAAAGTGTGTAAATCCATAAATAAAAATGACATCAGTGGAGAGTGGTTCCAATTCCACAGATGTAAGTAAATTTGTTTAAAAATGTATGATATTTGTTTGAAAAGTTAGCCCAAATTATTAAAATAAAGCTTAATACAAAAAGTTTATTAATTTAAATTCACCATTTGCTTCTAGAAATTATCAAATGAATCAGTCCAGGTAATAGTAAGATGTAGGCCCCTAAGTTTAAAAGAAATACAACAGGAGTGCAGGAATGTTATCCATATATACTCTACAAGAGGTGTTATAGAAGTCCAAAATCCTAAAGCGAAAAGCGAGAATGAACGGAACAAAATGTTTACATACGATGCTGTGTATGGTGACTGGTAAGTAACAGCATAGTTTTATTGATTTGAATCTAAGAGTTGCCCCTATAAATCTCTATTTTCTATCAGGGCCCCATTCCATGGTGAACCTAAATGTCTTTTAACATTTTCAACAATATAAAGTACATATAGGTAGGTAAACTGTTTTGCGAGTATATGGGGTAACATATCAATAAAGTAATATTTCCAAACAAATCTTTAATATTCTCATTTCTACTATTAAAACAAAAAGTATAGGCATTGCAAAATTAATATGGTTTCTCTTTTGCTCAATGCAAAATGACCATAAAAGGCTGTAAGTATTTGTTTGTTCATTTTTAAGCAATATCATCAGTCAACCTTTAAAGACATGGTCATACGTAAATAGTTTACCTTGTAAGATTAACATTACCCTATACAAGTACAATATGAAATGTTGAAGTACTGAATCCAACGTTCAAGTGTTAATCATTTGATAATTTATTGCGCAAGGTTTCAAGGAAATGATTTTTTTTTGTCGGTGACAAATTAGGTGCTTTTATGAGTATGTATTGCTTCTAGTTTAGAGTAATATTGTTTGTATTAAAAACACAATATTATTGACGATAATAATCCTCATGACTGATAAGAGGTTTTCTCTGCTAAATAATTAAGTTTTCCTTAATTGTTGTTATTAAAACTAATATTTGATATTAATCTGTTTAATCAACAAGTTGAACGTTATTTCCAACAAAGCCAAGATTATTTCATATTGCATTGTAAAATTTGAAAAAGCAGTAAAATCAAATTAGGCAGGTTTTTATTTGCTTTAGGTACAATTTAAGTAAATAAATCTGTTTTAATTTTTCAACTTAGAAAAAAATGGTTCTAAATTGCTTTAAAATTATCACAAATTTAGTAATTAAAATGGCAATGTTTTTAAGATTTTCATGTTTCAGTGATGTTGAAATATTGTAAAGCAAGTGACTCATTTTTAAAAAGTAATGTTGCTGTTACGAATTATGTATCTTTAGAAACAAGGTCAAGATCCTTTAAAAAAAGCCCACTCACCAGGGTCATCCTTAAGTGGGTGGACATTTTTCAACTATGTATATTTTTCACTCGATTTTTCATTTATATTTTACAAAATAAAAAGTTTATTATACTTAGAATCACTAGAAACGCGAAAAATTGGACAATGACTCTGATTTAAACTTATCTATTACCAGGTGAGTTTTTGTGAAAGTTTCTTTATGAAACGCTTGGATAAATATCATAAAAACCTAATATTTTTACAATGAATAATTACAAAAGTGCCTACCTACAATAATGATCCTGAAAAACCTTCAAGTTGTTCAAGAACCGAATGAAATAGAATGTGCCTGAAATATACCTAAAAATGTAATATACAGGGAGTCCCCTAATTTTTTTCCCAGAGATAACTTCAGAACGCGTCATCCGAGGCGTCATCTAATAATTGAAATTTTGAAGTTCTATACTGTATTTTTTCCCATAATAGATTTTAACAGTTTCAACTTTGAGACATAAACAATGCCGCTTATTGCAAGATGCCTTTTAAACGATATGCATTGTAAAACTGATTTCAACCTGCAAAGACGCGGTATTTTGCGACTAATTAGGGCCAAGCAGTATTGTTTATGTTTCAAAGTTTTCAAATCCATCTTGGAAAAAAATAAACCTTAGGTAACTTTTTGTGCTGCTTCTACATGTGTCATCCAATTTCACCACTTCCGCTTCATTTTCGGTCAATCGACGGCAACTTTAGAATTAATGCAACTTATGGTATACTATGGCACAAGTAATATAATTTTTCGTGAAAATTTAGATTACAAAATCGGCAATACCACATTTGTTAGGACTTTGTTAAATAAAATTCTAAAAAATTACATGGATTATTCGATGACGCGTTCCAAAGTTATCACCTGAGTAAAACCTGGTGGGACACCCTGTATGTTTTACTAAATAATGTTGGCTACTTTGAATCAAAAAATGGATTAGGACCAATTTTTTTTTCTTGTGGACGAAACCTGATCCAGTATTAGTGTGTAGGTATGTATTTATTTTGCATACTGCAAATACAAAGGCAATTGAGAAGAATACTTTGTTTACGGAGAAAGAAAAAACTTCAATTACCAAAAATTCAGAACCGTTGCGGAACCGAACGGAAAGAGTTTTTAACTAAGCTGCGGTAATGACAATTGAAAAGAAAAAAACAGAAAAGGGCATACAAAAACTATACCAGGTGTTTTTCAAAACTCGCTCACTCCTATACCTTTTTTATTTTCCCAAATAAACAAATGAAATTTGGTGTGTTCATTTATGACCCGGATGTGCATTATTTGATGTATTCAATTATTTAATATCACTTCCGGTTTGACCAGAGGTGACTGTAACTTTCTTATTTTAAATGAGACGCCAGGTATATTTTCCCTTGTTTCAATAGAAAACTACATTACGAGTACAATGACACCTCATTTGTCACTTTTTAACATTTCATCTTCAGATTATTTAAATTTTTCCTTTTTTGACTAGGCGCCATGAATTAGTTAAAATGCTTAATTTTGCTCCAAGGAACCTGGGAAAATTTGTTCTGATCTTATTTTGTATTTTATATCCTCAACAGACTCATTTAAAGATAGTAGAAGCGCATTTTTGGAATTATATCAATTTTTTCAAATGGAAAAGGTATGGCTCATCAGCATATTCCGAGAGAGCATTTTCTAACGAACAATTTAGTACCACACAATCGCTAGTTTATTCAAATATTGAACTAAAATTTTCCAAAAATATTTAGAATGCTAGGAAAATTCTTCATTTGAGTGATGAACTAGCGATTGTGTGGTACTGAATTGCTCGTTAGAAAACGCTCTTTTGGAATATTGTAATGAGCCATACCCTTTCCATTTGAAAAAATTGAGATAATTGCAAAAATGCATTTTTACTATTTTTTAATAAACCTGTAGAGGATATAAAATACAAAATAAGATCAAAACAAATTTTCCCAGGTTCCTTGGAGCAAAATTATGCATTTTAACTTATTCATGGCGCTCTAGTTAAAAAAGTTAAAATTTAAATAATCTAAAGATGAAATGTCAAAAAGTGACAAATGAGGTGTCATTGTACTCGTAATGTAGTTTTCTATTGAAATGAGGAAAAATATACCTGACGTCTCATTTAAAATTAGAAAGTTCTGGTCACTTCCGGTCAAACGGGAAATGATAATAAATAATTGAATACGTCAAATAATGCATATCCGGGTCATAAATAAACACACCAAATTTCATTTGTTTATTTGGAAAAATAAAAAAGTTATAGGGGTGAGCGGGTTTTGAAAAACACCCAGTATGTTAAAATGATACATATAAGTTCAAATTACAAGAAAAGAATTGAAATCATTATAAATGACTTGCCACTTTATGCGAATGACTGTTTTGTTACGCTGTTCGCAGATGACACTTCTACCGTTGTCGAAGATGTAGGGTATGAAGGGCTATGTCGGAGGGCAAATGAGTGTGTCCCCCAGAGTTTCTGATTGGTGCAGAGTAAACGGGCTCTGTCTGAATGGTACCAAAACGAGTTCTGTGCTATTTGCACCCATAAGAGTCCCCCAAGACAGAAGTCTCCTTATTAGGGATGGATCCAACAGTCTTGTTCAACAGGACTCTGTTAAGTCCCTTGGAATTTCATTGGATCACCATCTGTCTTGGCATGATCAAGTTGACTTCATCAACAAAGAACTTTGCCATATTACAGCTTGGAGACCATGTTGATCACAATACTCTAAAAACTTTTTATTTCGCTGCAATAAACTCTATTTTGTCGTACGGTCTTCTTGTGTGGGATAGCTCCACGGATTTATTTATTTATTTATTCAATATCCTCTACATCTTGCACCTACAGAGAATGTCTAAAACTACAAACTACCCACAAGCCTAACATCCTGATCCACTTTGTACCTCCTTCTTAAATAAAATTATTTTACTTTGAAAAATATCACAATTTGTTTCATTGGTTATATCACACATTCTTACTATAAGTGAGGTAAACTGCCTATTTGTTCTTGGTGTATCATAAGTCAATATCTGTGACTGTCTAAGTTTATTTTTTCTCAAGATAGATTTTGGCATTGTCAACTTTGAAACATAAACAATGCCGCTAATGGCGCTTATTGGTCGCTATTGTAAAACTGATGTCAACCTGCAGAAACACCTCATTTTGCGACCAATCAGGGTCAAGCGTTATTGTTTAGGTTTCAAAGTTTTCAAAGTTTTCAATGTCAAAATCTATCTTGGGAAAAAATAAAGTGTAGTTCTCAAATCTGGTACTCTTATATTTATCAGGCTCAACAGATATTCATCTTTCACATGATAATGAAGAAGTTTACACAAAAACATGTTGAAAAAATATTTTCTTTTTACATCTTACGTACTGTAACCATATTGGATACACAACACATCATATGGTACATCAACTGGGTAAACCCCGAATCTCTTAAAGTGTAATCTTCTCAAAAATGTCTTTTAACAATTTTCCATTTCATGGATTGACCTCTGATAACATGGGTCCCATACAACTGATGCATATTCTAGCTTTGTCCTAGCTAGTGGATCATAAAAAGTTTAACTGTAGAAATGCCCATATCTTTTGTGTTACGATGGATAAACCCTATACTTAATCTTAAGTGCCTCACCCACTATTTTGTTAATGTGATCATTAAAGCTAATAAAACTTTCATATAAAACACCAAGGTCTCTAATTGACGCGTCTCGCAGAAATAGAAAAAGTGAGCTTAATTGTAATAAATACAAGTTAGAAAGTAATAAAAAATGACATGCGCGCGCAACCCGTGGCTGCAGTGTAGCCAGATTGCGAGCCAGATTCTATTGTTGCAGAACAAATGTAGACAATAAAAATCGAACATTATAACATTAAAGAAATGATATATTGTCAAGTTTTTACCACGCCTTAAATCAGACAAAATAAGAGCTTTAAAGTGTATGTTAACATCGATGGGACTTTTA